ATGTATATTGCAGCAGATAATTTGTCTGGTATTGATCATTCTGTACTCTCTGATATGGGTCGAAGTATATTAACTTTGTCTCAAGTGGTACCAATAATGTGTGATCCAGCCAAAATTTTTAGGTCATTTTGGGGTGTCTGGCGGGCCTAATGCAGCTGGCAGTATGTCTGGTAAAGGTCACTTTGAACTTGGTGGAATGTTACCTTCTATTCAATAGTAGTTTCATTCAGTACCTTTCATATTTTATGTACATCAAGTTTGCCAGAAAACTGCATGGGGTCAACTTTTGGGTGTGTCTGGTGGGTATAATGCAGCAGGTAATTTGTCTGGTATTGTCCACTCTGTCAGATGTGTTGAAGCATATAAAATTTATTTCAGGTGGTACTTATAATGTTTGATTCAGTCCAAATTTTTAGGCCCGTTTTGGGCGTCTGACAGGCCCAATGCAGCAGAGATTATGTCTGGCATGAACTATTTTTTATCCAGTGTGATATGTAAATTACCCTTGAATACATTGTGTGTGGTACCTCTCTATGTTTGATCTAGCTGATTTTTTTTTTTTTTTTTTTTTTTTTTTTTTTTTTTTTTTTTTTTTTACCCTATTTGAGGGTCCCCAGGGGCCAAACGCTGCAAACTTCCTCGCAAGGTTTATGCCCTATTATTATTCTACATGATCCTGTATTCAGCAATTGGTACCAAGTTCGTTGACCAAACCTCCCTTGGCTGCTGCTCTATTATGCACATATGACTATGTATGTGTATGATGTACTTTAAACTCAGGTAGTCTTATTACTACACTCTTTTGTGCACCCCCACCCCCACCCCTCAACATCACCTCACATGCCTTTGCAATTCCACGCGTCCTTCAATTTATTTTCTATTTATTACACTTACCTTATTTGATTATCATGCCTCTTATTACGATAATTAGCATTTGAATACTTAATCTCATTCTAGCCGCAAGGTTTATGTTTGTCATTCGGCCACGTATCTCATGTTTATTTTCTTTCGAGCAGCAGCTAGTCGTGGATCAGACGAAGATGCACTCTGTTGTGAAGGTAAATGTAGGCCAGGAGGAGATATCATTCCTTACAGCGCCAGTGTACGTACAGAGAATGAACTAATACGAGAAAAATAATGTCTATTTTTTATCTGATTAATTTGATGTTCATCCCATGCATCTTACAGTAGTTGATTTAGCCTGGTGGACCTAGAATGCGATGGATATTTGGTAAAATAACTTTTTACTTTTGCATTGTTTTGATTCTTGAGTTCTGGTATTTGTTTCTCTTTTTTCATTTTCCCCTTCTCTTTCTTTTTTCCTGTGTTTTGTCTATAGCTTATTTTAAAAATCTTTTCTTGTCTTTCTTTGTAGTAGATTGTCCTTCTTGATCTCTCTCTCTCTCCTCTCCCTCTCTCTGTATCCCCTCTGTTAAACGTGGGTAGTCTTTACAATACATCAAAGTCAGGGTTTGCTTTGCATTAGGGGCAAATAAAGCAACTCAGGGCGTAGGGTTCAGGTGTAAGAGGATGAAGCTGTTTCTAAGTTCTGGTAAAACTATTACTGATAATTGATACGAAAAGGAACATGCGAATTGGCGATTATGATTCTGGATTGCTCGTTTCTTTGTATTACTAATCTATTTGGAATGAAGGAGTGGGTTGAGTTTGATCCGTTTGCAACTAATATGAATTACTTAGTAAAAACAAAATGTAAAAACAGATACGGAGAATTCAGAACAAACAGAAGGTTGCTTAGAAAAAGGAGAAGGGAAAAACAGGGATAAAAACTGGCAGTTTCTAAGATAAAGAAAATAAAATGTTGGCTGTTTGTCTCCCCAGCATTAGTAACAAGCAGTCTTGGTCTGTAGCCGGAGCTTGAGGGGAAGGTCGTATACATTATACACTAGGGACATACACTAACTGCTACGCTTGCTGCTCCTCCGTTTGTTTCTCGTGAAGATCCGCCCTAAGTTGACCTTCTGCGGGGCACAGTGTTTAAGAATCTTTAAATTTTCTAACTACACTCTCCTCCCTCCATCCCTCCTACCCACGCCTACCTTCTCCCTCCCCCTCCTTCTTCCCCTCTCTCCTCTCCTTCCCCTCCCCTCCCTCTCTCCTCCTCCTCCCTCTCTCTCTCCTCACTCCCTCCTCCCGTCACTTCATAGCTGCCGTCACGCAGCGTTCACGATATTAAACAATCCCACACGAAGGCTGAAAACGCTTCTACTTTAATCCCGGTACCCGTGAGGAGCAACAACTCGGCGGAAAGAAGTCAAGAATTTAATTAAACACTAGGAGGATGTCGCCATTTTTTCCTCTTTTCTATATATATATATATATATATATATATATATATATGTGTGTGTGTGTGTTGTGTGTGTGTGTGTGTGTGTGTGTGTGTGTGTGTGTGTGTGTGTGTGTATATATATATATATATATATATATATATATATATATATATATATATATATATATATATATATATATATATATATATTTTTTTTTTTTTTTTTTTTTTTTTTTGCGCGTGTGTGTGAAATGATGACTGGAATGCTAGAGGAAGGTTGAAGGTTCATGATACTCTTTTTTTATGGAACTGATCTGTGATTTTTTTCCTGGAAGGGGTGGGGGTGTAAATCTTGGGGGCAGAAAATGATCACTGGATTTTCAGTATGAAAAAAATAATCAACATTCATACACTACACTGATTTACATTAATGTGAATATGAATGACATTATAACAACTAATATCCATAATGCACTCTGTTGAAGAGGAAATGTATAAATATTAATTTATGTCGCAGAAATTATTCGCGTAAAAGGAAGTTTAGAGAAACATGAAAAAATGCAGAGCTCTCAGAACTAAAAATAATTAAAATAATACATAATGCGAAAAAATCTATACTCTTAGCCATATAACAATAACAATGATACTAGAAACAATGATAATGGTGACGTCTGCATAGCAAAAGGATAACAACAATAAAGACAATGATTTGAGTTGTGGTACGAAAGCTGATGGTACAGCTTAATCTGGAATTTTAACAAAATAGATATTGATAGGGATTTGA